CCCCCCCGCCGCGCCGCCACCTGCGGGGCCGGGGGACAAAGGGGCGCGGGGCGGGCACCGGCGGCGGGGGAGCGGGCGCGGCGCTAACAGGTGGCGGCCCGGTCTCCCGCTCGGCGACGCCCGCGGCCCGGCGGGCACGGCCCTGCGCCTTCGGAGCCGCGAGCGGGGAAAGAAAGAGCGCGGCCGGCGCTCGGAGCGGCCCCGCGTGCACAAAGGGCCACGCGTGCCGGGGGCGGGCCGGGCGTGTGCCGGCCGCGGGGCTCAGGTGCCGCCGCCCCGCCCGCCGCCGCCGCTGATTGGCCGCGCCCGCCGCCGCCGGGCCGAACAATGGCCCCGGCCCTCTTAAAGGCGGCGGCGGCGGCGGGCTGGAGGAGGAGGGAGCGCCGCTCGCCGCCGCCGGGCGCGGACCGCCCGCCCGAAGATGCCCCGCGGTTTCCTGGTGAAGCGCAGCCGGCGGCCCACGCCCGTGTCCTACCGGGTGCGCGCCCCTCCGCCCACCGCTCCGCCGCCGCCTCCCCCTCCTGCCCCGCCGCCGCCGCCGCCTCCTCCTCCCGTGCCCTTCGGGACGCCCGATGGCCCCGTGCAAGCGCTGCGCAGCCCCACGCGGCCCGTCAGCCGCGACGCGCTGCTGGAGCGCGGTTTCAGCCTGGGCTCGCCCGTCTCGGCCGAGTCGTTCCCCGCGCCCGCCGTGCCCAGCAGCATGGACCCGCTGCTGCTCGGCCCCGCCGAGCTCAAGCTCTGGGCCGCCCGGCCGCCCCCCAACCCCAGCGGCGGCGGCGGCGGCGGCGCTCCGGCCTCCAAGCGTCCCGCCGAGCCCGGCCGGCAGAAGGCCGCGGCCGGCAAGAAGGCGAAGGCGATCCGCAAGCTGACCTTCGAGGACGAAGTGACCACGTCCCCGGTGCTGGGGCTGCGCATCAAGGAGGGCCCGGTGGAGGCGCCGGCGCGGCGCGGGGGCTGCGCGCGGCCGCTGGGCGAGTTCATCTGCCAGCTCTGCAAGGAGGAGTACGGCGATCCCTTCGCGCTGGCGCAGCACCGCTGCTCGCGCATCGTCCGCGTGGAGTACCGCTGCCCCGAGTGCGACAAGGTGTTCTCCTGCCCCGCCAACCTCGCCTCGCACCGCCGCTGGCACAAACCGCGGCCCCCCGCCAAGAGCGGCCCCGAGGCGGCGGAGCCCCCCAAGGAGGCGGCGGCGACGGCGGCGGAGCGGGACACGCCGAGCCCCGGCGGCGCTTCGGAGGCGGGCTCCGAGGAGGGGCTGTTCGAGTGCCCGCGCTGCGCCCGCCGGTTCCGGCGGCAGGCCTACCTAAGGAAACACCTGCTGGGCCACCCCGCCGCGCCCGGCCCGGCGCCCGAACCCGCGGCGGAGCCCGCCGAGCCCCGGCCGTGCCCGGTGTGCGGGGAGAGCTTCCCCAGCAAGAGCAGCCAGGAGCGGCACCTGCGGCTGCTGCACGCCGCGCAGCTCTTCCCCTGCAAGTACTGCCCCGCCACCTTCTACAGCTCGCCCGGCCTCACGCGGCACATCAACAAGTGCCACCCGTCCGAGAACAGGCAGGTGGTGCTGCTGCAGGTGCCGCTGCGGCCGCACTGCTGAGCCGCGGACTGCGCCCTGCGTCGCCCCCGTCCCTCCCCGGCCGCTCGGGTTGCGCTCGAGGACGAAGGAGAGGCGAGGCTTCGGTCGGCGCAGCGCCGGCGCCTTCGCTCCGCTCCGGGACGCGTAGAACTGCCTTAAGTCGTGCCGTGCCCGCGCCGCGCCGTCTGTATGTGTTGGGTCGAGTCCTCGCGTTATTATTTATTCCTTATTTATTTATATTAATGATGAAGATGGATATTATTTGATCGCAGATGCTCTAACGCGCTTTTTTATTCCCTCCCCACGTCCCCCGGCCCCACCATCTCACTGTGATCTCTTTTTTTTTTTTTTTTTTTTTCTTTTTTCTTTTTTTCTATAAAGGTTTTAACTTTTATACCTGGAAATAAACCACGTGACCTTAACCCGTCCGCCCGCGCCGCCGACAGCTCTCACTCCTAGATGCAATCTCTTTTTCTACACACATTATTTTCGTACCTGTTAGCTATTTATAGAGTGCTTCGATAGGACTGTTTCGACTGTATAATTATTTACTATTCAAATAAAAGTATTTTCCAATTCATGCCTGCCTTCTGCCTGCCCGCTGCGCGCTCGGCTGCCTTTGATATGGAGCGATGGAGGGTGGGAGAAGGAAGGAACGCGGGGCTGCTCGGCTTGGAGGTGCCTGAGGCTGTTGTGTTCTACGGTGTGGGACAGGGGATGCCCTCACTGAGCTTTGCTGTGGCTGCTGGGGAGAGTAGAGTGTGTGTGCAGCAGCTGTGCGGGAGAAAAAGAGAGTTGCCGTCGCTGCTTTTTGGTTTGGGTTTCCTTGTAAGGTTGGGCTAAAAAGTACCAAAAAGCATGAAAGCAGCGGGCTGCTGTGCTGTGCTTCCTAGGAAACCAAGCTCGTCCTGCCGGGGCTGACGTCAGGTCTGGGCGAAGCTGTCATAGCTGATGATCTGCAGAGGAGAACGTGGCCCGGCAGCACCCAAAATGCAGGTGGCAGGATGGGGCTGGTGAGTTTTGCTTTGCTCTGGGGCTGCCTGCTGTGTGCTGCTTCCCTTGGGCAGCTACGATCCTGGAGCTCCTCAAAGAGAAGGAGCTGAGCCTGTGCTGAAACCCTGCTGGGCACTGAGGCCCATCGGTGAGGCCTGAAAGGCCACCCATCTTGGGGCAGCATCCAACCAAAATAGCTGCTTCCTATTGCTGCTGGCTTCCCAATAGCCAAGAGTGAGATAAAATCGGATCAACTGCCATGGTTGGTAGGGGAACATCGGGGTAAAGCTCAGTTGCCGTGCTGGATGCAGGGGGATGTGATGGTAGGGGCTGGTGCTTGGGGAGCAGCACGGAGAGGAGCAATTGTAGGGTTTGGGGAAGCAAGTTTCTGCCACAGATCCCCCCCAGAACCGGGGTTCACCCCTTGTGAGCCCCACGCGATGTGGCCCCGCAGCCCCAGGGAGCACCAGGTGTTTCCTTCCCGGTGCCATCTCTTCACCACCCGGCAGCCAGGAGCGGCCGGCGCTGTGCAAACAAAGCCTCCTGTCAGCTAACAAATCAATCTGCTGAGGGCTCCCAGCTCAGCTGGAGAGAACAGGTTTGGGTGCATGAGAAAATGCTGATCCCACCTGAAAGGCAATTTCCCATTTCTGAGGCAGTGGGAGCGCAGGTATGGAGGCTGTGCTGCATGCACGGCCCGATCTGTTGGCCTGTTTTGCAGAATGCTGGGTCTGGCCCCCGTCGGAGCGCACAAAGAGCTGAACACATGGTCTGAAATGGACTGTTTGCAAACTGAAAAGAAGCGGGGAGGTTAATTACGGGAACCTTCAGGGTGCTGAGAAATGCAGCTCCGACACCATCGCCGGGCGATGCGCTGCGCAGTTCTCCCCGCGGTGCCATCGGCACAGGCGGCTGGTGGGGGAACAGCTGAGATTCTCTGCTGTGCCGCTGCTCAGCGTTTCTTTTAGCAGGGCTGGGACCAGCAGCCGTTCCCACAGCCATCGGCTGGGAGGGCTCACTGGGAGCAGCACCGGGCACAGCGGTTGCTGAAAGGAGGGAGGCGGGAAGCAGGAAATCATCCAGAAATGGGCCCGCAGAACTTTGCCTTCAGATTTCCTTTCCTTCCCATCAACCTGCTGAAAAACTGTCGCTGATTCTAAATGAGTGGAAAAGCAGTCGGACATTGCTGCTGGTGTGCCAGCATCCTGCAGTGCTGGGCAATGCATGGCCCCGTGCACGGGGAGTTGTGATGTGGGAGCAGGCATCACGGCACGAGACTGAGCGCCACAGCTTGGGACCGGGTGTTGCAACGTAGGTCCAGGTTAGGGTTATGGGTGAGGTTTAGGATCGGGACTCAGGGTTCCAACCCCTGCTGTGGCCATGGTTGCCACCCACTAGATCAGGTTGCTTATCGTATATCCTGTTACATGGTGCACTCAATATTATACAGCATGCATATACCATTAATGATATTGTCGTGTGTAACTGATGCATATCGTGACACAGCTGATGTGCTCTGTGACATCCCATAGGCTGTCCCTGCCGGCGGTGGCAGCGTGACGCTGGGTGCAGCAGCGGGGCGATGCCATGCTCCCAGCTGATGGACACGGCAAGGTGTGCAAACGGGGATTGAAGTGAGAACTTCAGAAAAAGAGAGATCTCAAAGCAGCTTTTCCCACTGCCAAATAATCCCGTATCATTCCCGCTGGCATAAGCGGGTGTTAATGCCTAAGCACCCCTGACATAATTATGACTGAGCACACAAACCCCCTTCATTTTCTTAAGCGATGTCTCCGCAGAGCAGGAAATCGCCGCTAGAAAGGTTTTGTTTCTAATGCCCATGCAAATTCCCAGCAATGAGGCATTACACGGTTTAGGAAGGGCAGCCTTGTCATCACGCATCTCCTGCAATGAATGCTATAGAAGGAATGTCTTCTGGGGCTTGGTAATGCTCTGTAATTACTATTAGTGAGAGCTTCCAAGCCCCTTCCGAAGAAGCCAGCGATGGTGCTGTCACTGATGCCGAGCTCCCTTCCGACCATTCTGTGATCCTATGAGAAACAAAACCTCTCCTTTAGGTGGTGACAGAAACAGACAAACACATTTCTGTGATCAATTTTTATTCACTAGAAGAGAATCCTCTGAGTTAGCTGTCCCTAAGCCGTACAGAAGTAACGTTCAGTAGCAGCTCTGCAGGTCTCAGCCCAGCAGAGCCCTCCCCGTTCTCCCCCAGTTGCCCTGGCTGGGATGGCAGCTCCAGCATCACAATGCACCATCACAGTGTGGCTTCACTCTGCTCAAGGCACCCGGGGGAACGGAGCAGCTCCGTGTCTGACTGCACAGTATGCAACCAATGCTGAATTTTCACAAGTCGATGTTGTTTTGACATCGGGAAAATATTATTAATCCTCCCCTGAAAGAGGGATGAGTATTGCTCCAAAGAGAAACGGCTCATTTTACTCAGAACGCCTTTGAAATGATTTCAGACCACTGGGTAACTAAAGAACAAGACAGCCTGGCGTGTTCCGCTGCGAAAAACGAAATAAATTAAAATACACAGTTTATTTTCCAACTTCCCCTCCCCGATCGGTAGGGAACAAAAGCAAAGGGTGAGGCAGGCAGGCGGAGCGGCACTCCAAGCGCTCGGCACGCGGAGCTCTGTGCCTGCAGCAGCGCTGCGCTCACCCCAACCCCAGCCGTGCGCCTCGTCAGCTGACTGCTGCGTGGAGCCCCATGGCAGGGCTGCCACCATCAGTGCCCAGAGTGCTTGTCTGCATCCACCCGGCAGCAGCATGGAGTGGTGGCACGACAGCAGTCCTTCGTGTGAACGTGTAGGAAGTGCAAAAGCAGACGGCACAGCGGGGCGTTTTATTCAGTTCCCATCACTTCGATACATCACATGGAGTTCAGAGGTGTGCGCTTCAAGGCTAAGTGGCGTTTCAGAAAGAAAAACAACACCCCAAAAACACAAAAACTGAACAACAGTTGAACAAAAAAGCAACGGGAGTGAGACCTGAGGAGGACGAGGAAGGCTGGAGGTATCTGATGCAACACCCAGGAACTGGGCAGACACACCAGTGTCCACAACATCCAAAACCCGAAGCTAGAGCAGGAGCTGTGAGTTTTCACCCTGGAAACCTGTGACACGTGCAGAGTGAAGTACATTTCCCGTCCGAAAGATTTGCTTACTACACAAAGTGCCATCAGGACGTTACATTTCCTTGGGAGCCTTCAGATGGGTTTGTATTCTAGCTCATCAGAGATGCTTCCCCTTGCCGATTATTGCCCCAGTGTTGTGAAAAGGCAAAGTGGTGTCGTGGGGAGCGCGCCGTCCTGCGGTGAGTCACACCCCGGTGAGAAGCAGTCAGGCAGATGTGCAGCATTTCATCTTCTGAAAGAAACGTGGCTGGGTGTTTCTCCACATGTGGACAGCAGTTCACACTGCACAGCCACTGCAAGCGTTACTGTGGAGGATGAAACAGCCCTGGGGGCAGGGCTGAGGAAGAGGACTCCTTTCCAAACCACATGTGGAGCCAGGGGACGGCTCACCCTGCACTGGGGCAGCAGCACGGAGAGCAGCCCAGCTCGTGCACTGCCACAGCATCCTTGGTGTGTGGACGGATGCTCCACAATAGGTGGTGATGGATGACCCTGAACAAGATAGCACGGGTAAACGGAGCGATTTCAGAGCAGGTGCCGCCATTCTATGAAATTGGCAGCAGCCTCCTGAATTTCAGATAAATGGGCCTCTCTGATTATCACTAATTCTTTGCTCCGTGCACAACAACTGCCACGGATGGCTGCTGAAAACAGGACGGGAGCAGAGGTGGAACAGATGCTGAGCAGCACCCCATCACTCGTCCATGCTGCGGAGGAGGACATCCGGCACGTGCCTCATCATTACAAAGCTCAGTTCTGCTTTGTCACAACCCCCCGGCCCACAATTCGTTGGACGGAATGACTGAAATCAGTGCTCTGAGACGACGTGAGGCAATGGGCATCAGCGCTGCTCCGTGCCCTCGTGCGATGAGGTGGGGGGAAAAGTGCTTGCTGCCCATCCCCTCCAACAAGCGCCCATCCCGAGCGGGGGGTCCTTCAGGCGAGGAGCAGAGCCTGGTGCGTGGCGAGGGGTTCCCTGGAGGGTGCAGGGTGTCAGCTGGGAGCCTTGCTGAGCGCGCTGGCAGAGCGGCGGAGCCTCCCGCAGGCTTTGCTGCCGGCGCTGCGCGGCGCTGAGGTCAGCTCTGCTGGCTCTGCTCCTGCGGGGACGGCGAGGTCGGCGCTGGTGCTGGCGGTGAGGCAGCCTGGAAGAGACAGCGGGCAGGGGAAGGCGGGCTGAGGACAGGGACAAGCAGTGCGTGTCCGCATCCCAACAGCCGCTCTGCAGATACAGAACCTCGGGTCTTTCTGACTACTGCAAGTGGACCCCCATCAGGAACCGTGCTCACGGGCTTCCTTCTCCAGCACCTCCCCAGAGGCGGTTATGGCTGCAGGTCGGGACTAATGGCTTGTCAGAATGAGAACAGCTGAGGGGACAGCTATTAACTGTAGGGCAGTGAATAAAGCTGGAGTGTGTGCAGCTCCTGCCTGGCTGTGGTGCAGACGCGCACGGGGAATACCGACGCATGCTGCAACACAGCGCTGCTCTTGCTGCTGGGGTTTCCACCCATCCCAAGGCATTTCTCGGTGTCAGTGTTATTTCATTAGCTCCCCTGGGCTGCAGTATTTTTAAATCTTGTTGTAACTAAGTCTCTGTGTGTTTTTTTCCTGGAGGGGGAGGTACAGTGCTGTGCCCCGGTGCTTGCAAGCCTGGAGCAGTGCTCGGAGCCCAACCTAATGGCTGTGGCCGAGCACCTCTGCGCTCCGATGGCCGTGTGCTGCAGCACAAACCTACTTCCAGCTCAGCAGTGGGCTGTGCCTCCTGGCTGCCTGCTCCCAGCTGGGCTTTCTGGCTGTGTTGTCCCCAGTACAGTGGGACAACCTGCATGAATCTTGGGACTGCTCAGAGCTTGGAAATTCAACAATGTTTGTCCAGCACAGGCTGAGCCTCATTTTGCTTCCTTACTAAAAGGATTAAATCTTGGGGCCCTGCTCTATGTAACTGTGGGTATTTTGGTGAACAGGCACTGAACCCTGCAAGGCTGAGGTCCAAAGCCCACTCTGCTCCTTTGAAATCCCATAGCTGGTTTACAACCTGGCGTCGGCATTTCAAATGGAACCTTTCAGTCCCAGATTTATATTTCAAGACAACTGACTGAAAGGGAAATACCGCATTAAAAAGGAAAAAAAAAAGGTGAAAAACATGACTTAATGTGCAAAGGCATTCTCTGTGAAAAATGTGGAGCTGTCAGTTCAGGATTCAAAAGAAAACCTGCGGTGTTGTTCACAGCGCGGGGAGGAGGGGGTGCGAGGGAGGTGTCACACTTTACATTCCTGCAGTCAAGCGGCATGGCAGATGGTCAAAATAATACAGTTTCCCCCAAAAGGACGAGCTGCAGCAATATTCATGCATGCTCCCCACAATGCCTCGCTGAGAGTGAAAGGCTGCAGGCAGGATGTGGGTCAGGAGCTCCCGTCCCCACGTCCCACAGCCCCACGTCCATCCTGCAGCCCCGCAGCCCCGCACATTCCTGCAGTCCCAGCCTTCCCCCAGCGAGTCCTGAGCTGCGCGTGCGGCCCCTGGCTGTGATTGATAGGGAGACAGCAGCTGCAGAGTGAGCGAGAGTTAGCCACAAAAGATAAAGGCTTTCATACAAATATTATAATTCCACTTGCAAGCCGTCTGGCACAAACTCTAATTGCTTCGCCTCCTCGCAGGGGAAGCCTGCAAGTTTGTTCGGAGGGCGAGGTGCTGCTAAGGGCCTTTTTGGAGGATTCACCCTTTTATTTTTTGGCCCTTCTGAGGCTGTGCTTGCTCCAGAGGGTACACAGGCAGTATGGAATTAGGAGTTGTAAGAAGCAACAAGCAGCTTTGATGGCTGTTAGCTAAGATGGATTTCCTTTTGGCTCGCAGGTGGGTCACCGGAGGGCTTGAGCCCTTCCAAATTCACAACTCAAGCAAGCAGGGGAGTCTCAAAGCACGAGGAGCCAGGTGAGATGTGCAGCTCAGCCTTAGTGAGAGGCAGGGACAAAGCCCAAACCCAAGGGCAGAGCACCAGGAGGAGGAGGAGGAGGTGGAAGAGAAGGAGGAGAGCGTTAGCGATGGAGCGCGACGCATGGCCTGCGGGAAGCACGGCTCTTACCTGCGGCAATTAGCGTAACGAGACCGTTACACACTCTAATCTAAAGGGAGAGAACACAAAATGGTATCAATACAGGAGCAGCATACCCACGGTGCACATGGGGCCAGGAGCCGACTGGGGGGACATGGGGACAGAGGGTGACTGAGGTGTGCTGCTGGTCAGGGGTGGGGAGGAAATGGTGCCCAAAGTGAGTCCTCTTCAGCTTCTGCCAAATGTGCAGATGTGGCAGCCCGGGCATTCAGCCTCCTCTCATTTCAACAACACTGCTAGCAGATAAAATCTGAAATCGGGTAAGATTGGAGGCTTCTTGGAGGGCTGAACTGCTGTTACACTGTGGCCAGGTTAAAAAATCACAGCGTGAACAACATACATACCACTGGGCCATACAAGTGAAAAGTAACTTCTATGTACAAACCCATCCCCTGCACACACACACCGTGCCCACAAATGGGTGATGGATCCCTCTGCAAAGAGAGAATACCACCAGACAGTGTTTCTCTTTCATGAGAATACGCTGCCAACAGACACACAGCTCACATCCTGCAAAATGCAGAGGGTCTGAGCTGCCACGGGAGCAGCAGTGGTGTGGAGTTCCCCTCCCTGCAGCCTGGGTGACAGCATGTGAGAAGGAGGGAAGGAGTGCACTATGTGGGGTGGATTTCCCCCTTGTGTCTTGCTGACAGGCACCTCTGGGGAGAAACAGTACTTGTGAGGGCTTTGCAGAAGCCCCCAACATTAGGTCAGGTTGGTCCAACAGGAAATTTCACTGGGAATCTTTTGATTCTCTGCTATCAAGCAGCAGCCATGGCCAGGAGAGCATTTCACCCAAACGAAGGAAGATGCTTCAGTATGTGTGGGCTGCGGAGGTGTGGAACATGTTTTGTTAGAGCACACAAGAAGCCATTTACAAGTGGCCAAACAGGGAACGGTCCAATCCATACGTGGACATCTGCAACTGGAGACGATGGGAGGCAGGATCTCAGCATCCCAGCATCCTCCATGACATCTTGATTTCAGCCCTGCCTCCTTTGCTCCATGTCAGGCAGCATGCTCGTGTTGCTGGAACTCAACGCCTGGCACATGCCATGCTTGCTGTAAGCAGTATCACGGCACAGCTATTTGCTTTCAGATGTTTATTTCCAAATATTCAGCTCTAAAAATATTCCCTAAAATGATGCACAAGTGTTAGTGAGAACTCAGAGAGACTTTTATTCTGCCCAGCAGGCAGAACTGCCTCAACATCCTACAGATCTTCAGGCAAAATGCAAAGACAAGGAATGAAAAAAACAGCAAAGCCCAACCTGGCCAGAAAGAGTTGCCACTCAACCAGCTTCCAAAATAACCCCACTGTGTGCCTGGCTGCATGCTCAGAGTCACCCTACTGGGTTCTCTTTTGCCTCTGTCAAAAATGTGTTTTCTGACCACGTTTGGAATATTCCTGTTGTTTTAAAGTGGGAAACTTAAAGCTCCGCACTGAGCAAAAAGCATTAAAAAACAGATCTTTTTTTGTTGTATTCTCGTGTGTTTTCTGCAAGAATTTTGTGCCTATAAAAGCCCAGAGACAAAAGGGAAGCATGTGTTGAGTGAGGAGAGGACAAACTGAGGGTTAAGTACTGTATAGGAATGTGAGTAAGGACAGGACGAGATATGGGTTAAGCACTGTATAGGAATGTGAGTAAGGAGAGGACAAGATAAGGGTTAACTATGGTATAGGAATGCAGGTAAGCAGGATGTGAGGCCAAATAAGAAAAGAACATCATGAAACTCAATTGTAAACTTGAAGAAACATTACACAAGGAATGTTCAGGATGGGATTGGTTCTGTTGAAGACAATGAGCCTTCATCCCCTGACCACCAGAAGGAGACCCCACTGCCCACAGTGCACGTGCAGGATTGATTCAGCTGGCATTGTGTGCATGTGGTGTGAGTGAGACGTGGCTGAGACACGGAGTGAAAGAGGAGTCCTGAGCTGTGGTTCCGTGCTCCCACCAGGGAAACGGCCGGGGATGGACGAAGCAACAAGTTGTTCTTTGTGTCATCTGTCCATCCATACGTGTTTTTGTGTTTGTATGAAGCTTATAGATCGGGATAGCGATGGGAGTTTATTAATTGGGAAGAGGGGCCTGAGGAAAGGTGTGCATTCCACCTGGAAAATGAGTGTTGCCCCATTTATATTATATGCCGTCCAGTGTGTGAAGAAATGTATCGGGGTTGGTGGTGTCGTTCGTGTCCAGAAATTTTAGAGTGGGAAATTTTAGAGTATGAAGAGTTACTTGTGGAAACCTTAGGGCAACAACGAACCAGTGAGACAACATTATGGGAGGCTCACAGGGAAAGGAAATACCTAAAAGAACATCCCTCAGATGTGTTCTGGTACACTGGTGAAATACTGCAGGGGGTCCTGGGGGCACTCTAAGCAAGAAAACTGATAAAATATTGTATTCAGTGGTGGTTATTGTATAAATTGGATGATGGGGAAAAGTGGCCCCTGAACGGGACACTGAAGTACAATACCATTCTGCAACTGATGCTATTTTTAAGGTAAATGGGATGAGGCAGCATACGCTGGTATGTTCTTTACCCTCAGGAATCATCCTGAGTGGCAAAGAGAATGTGGGATGGGGGCACCACGAGATCCTCTAGTGTTAGCATTAGAAAAGGATCGGCGGGCAGCAGGAAGCGGAGGGATAAAACGCCATTGCTCTGCATGCAGTATAGGACAACAGTGCACTAGACTAACTGAAGTTAAGACTTCTGCTCATTTACTGGACCATTATCAGGCAACAGGGCAGGGAGTCCTACCACTGGACAAAGGGAGCCCTCCAAAAGGGAAGACTCTTCCCCCAAAACCCTCCCGGACTCCCCTATAGCCACTGGAACTAGGAGGCAACAAAGTGTTCTTTTAGGCCCCCTGAGGGAGGCGGTGGGACCGGATGGGACACATATCTTACTAAAGGTCCCATTGTCTTCTTTTGATCTGGAAACCTGGAAACAGGTGGCTAAGGAATTCCAAGTGACCCGGTGGGAGTAACACGGCATTTCCAGTATTTGATTAGGCAGCACAATCCCAACTGGAGTGATATCCAGCTATTACCAGACTCCATGACGGAGATGGAAAAGTGTCTAATTTTGAGAACAGCCCAGAATCTGGCTGAGGATAATTTGCGGGGTGGAAACGTGGATATAAAACATCATTTCCATCATTGGGACCCAGGTAGAGGAGCAGAACGACATCTTTTAGAAGCCTACTGAGGATGGGTGGTAAAAGGAATGGAAAGGGCTATTCCTAAAGCAACCAATTGGTCTGCCTTATAAGGCAGGGTCCAAAAGAAACCTCCTCAGAATTCCTGGACCAAGGCCCTTACCTTTGTCCAGAATAGTACAACACGTGAGCACGTTACTGGGGGTTGATTGGCAATTACATACACCTTATCGACCTCAGTCAAGCGGACAAGCAGAGAAAATGAATCATTTGTTAAGATTACAGATGGTGAAGCTTGGCCAGGAGGCAGGAATACCCTGGCCCCAAGCTCTGCCTTTGGCTTTATTAAGGATTCAAACAAAACCTGAACCAAGGAAGGACTAAGTCCATTTGAGATCCTTTATGGGAGACCTCATCCGGTACAAAAAGGAGCTTCTGCACAAACAGGGGAGGAACTTTTGAGCAGATATGTAATTAAGTTGTGAAAGCAATTAAAGGATATTGAGCAGGTGGTGTTTAATAGCAGGGCATGAGGCCTGGATGGTCCGGTACATAACGTATTGCCTGGAGGTTATGTGTATGTCCAATCCCTCTCAGATTCTCCTCTAGAACCAAGGTGGGAAGGACCTTATGAAACACTCCTAACCACGCACAGGGCAGCCCAGGTGGAAGGACCGATACCGTGGATACACTACACCTGCCTGAAGAAGACTGTCCGACCGCAATGGACTGTGAGGGAGAAAGGACCCTCCCACTAACAATTAAGAAAAATGTATAAACTATGCGTTGTAATTAACCTTATAAGATTTGCTTTAGCCTGGGAAGATAATAGCTACCTAAATGTTACTTGGGCAGTAGCCCAAAATTTTAACCTAACAAATTGTTGGATGCGTACGGTCCTCCCCAGAGGGGAGGGGTGCCAGTCTACGAGTTAGAAGTGTTTAATTGGACAATTCCAAATTGGGTGGAACATGGGGAATGTAAGTATGGAATGGAGGATTAATTACAAAAGGGCCCGAGGTTCGATCTGTTGATTATTAGTTCTTCTAAGTCTATCTTTGTGGACAGGGAAAATGATAGCGAAATTAGTGTGAAAGTTGGGTGGTGAAACTTAACAGGTACAGGATGCAGTTGGGAATATGGGAATTCGGGGACAGTATCAGGACTCAACAAGACTACAAGGTGGAAGCAGGGCATAGGGCGTGATTCTAGAGCAAGTGAAAATTCATCATGGCCTACAGATAAGAATGTATTTGGGATTGTGGGAATGGGAACATCTTCTACCCAACAAGAGGGTAGGTCTAATCCATGCAGATTACCTTACGGATGCTGGTGGTTATGTGGGGATGGGCAGGCACGAAAGGCACTGCCTGCAAATTGGATGGGAACATGCACTGCAGGATACATGGTACCTCAGACCACGGTGCATGAGGAAATACCACAGGGACGCTTGAGAACCCCCTGGAGACGGGTGAGAAGAGTACTAAATCCCTTGGTGGAAAAACCTACCGGTTTCCACAGCTTTGTGAGATGGCTCATCCCATCTCTTGGAGTAAGTGAGCTGGAGAAAGCGATCGTTCATATTTCAGCCACTCTAGAGATAATACAGAGAATGCTCACGTGGATGCAACCAACGCATTACAAGTTGAGATTTCAATGCTTAGTTAGGTTGTATTACAAAATAGAATGGCGTTGGATCTCCTAACAGCCAAAGAGGGATGGGTTTGTGTGATAACTAATCAGAGCTGTTGTGCTCACGTAGGCAAGACTCAAAGGATAGAGACTGATCTACAGGCAATATGGGAACACACTAAATTACTGCATCAGGTAACGATGGATGATACCTCATTCGGATTCACAGAATTGTGGGAAAACTTAGCAGCGGGTTACCTAATTTTGAATGGCTAAAGCAACTCTCTGTGGCTTATATTATTATAATCATCTTGCCCATTTTAATGTGTACTGCAATGAGATGTGTACTATGAATATGCAAAACTTCTGGGGATAGTTATGAGGAATGGAAAAAGCACAAGCTAAGGCAGAAAGTAGGAAGTGGAAGTCATTTCAAAACTTCCCTTTTCCTGAATGGAGTAATCTAGCAAAAGAAATTGCTAGGTTCAAGAAAAAGAGGGGATTGAGTTAGGAGAGGACAAACTGAGGGTTAACCATTGTATGTATAGGAATGTGAAAAAGGAGAGGACAAGGTAAGGGTTAAGCATTGTACAGGAATGTAAGGACAGGACAAGATAAGAGTTAACTACTGTATAGGAATGTGAGTAAAGACAGGACAAGAGTTAACTATGGTATAGGAATGCAGGTAAGCAGGATGTGAGGCCAGATAAAAAAAGAACATCACGAAACTCAATTGTAAACTTGAAGAAACATTACACAAGGAACGGGTCAGGATGGGATTACTTCTGTTGAAGACAATGAGCCTTCATCCCCTGACCACCAGAAGGAGACCCCACTGCCCACGGCGCACGTGCAAGAGGGAGGGACCATATGCTGATGGGCTCTCAGAAATGTAATGAATACGGATACGAATTCTGGGAAAATCATTGATTATGTAGGTCAGCCTATATCTGAACCAAGCTTTTGCCTACGTTGGGCAAGATAGGCGGAATATCCCCCTTGCACCCGGTGCCTGCGCAGCACTGATTAAAACATACCTGCTTCATAATCAAGCTTTGGGTTGTGGAGTCTGATTCCACGAGTCAGAATGAAAAAAACAGCAAAGCCCAATCTGGTCAGAAAGAGTCACCACTCAACCAGCTTCCAAAATAACCCCACTGTGTGCCTGGCTGCATGCTCAGAGTCACCCTACTGGGTTCTCTTTTGCCTCTGTCAAAAATGTGTTTTCTGACCACGTTTGGAATATTCCTGTTGTTTTAAAGTGGGAAACTTAAAGCTCCGCACTGAGCAAAAAGCATTAAAAAACAAATCTTTTTTTGTTGTATCCTCGTGTGTTTTCTGCAAGAATTCTGTGCCTATAAAAGCCCAGAGACAAAAGGGAAGCATGTGTCACTTTCTCAACAAAAAGGCTGCAAAATCTCAGTTTTATGTAAATAAGCACACGCTGCTCCCAGGGCTTTAAAACCGGGGAATGCTGAAAACGTCTATAGTTCCTCAACTCAAGTGTTGCTCCTGGGCAATGCTATAATATTCATTAAAGAACCCATTTATCAACAGATACCACATGTCAGAGTTTTCCAGCACGGCTTCCTGACACTGCTCTGAAAATGATGCTTAAAAGACAAAACCTGAAATGGAAAGCGATAATCCGGGATTCTTTTGCCTGCTGTTTGGCCCCACAATAGTGATTAGCAACTAAAAAAGTAAAGATTTACACTATATCCTTTCTGATAACGTCGAGCGTTATGCTTTATTTTCCAAATCATTAGCATGCACAAGAATGACCTCATGGTGAACAGATGCACTTGGATATGGCAGTGATTAGATCAGTCCTCTCAGCAGTCAAGTGTGCCCATTTCAATTAACCCTTTGAAGCACCAACTGCAAGCCCACGGTGCTGAAAAGCAGGGCTGGAGGTTCTCTCCAAAGCAGAAATCTGCCCCTGTTTGAGGGTTTCTCTGGTCAAAGGGCTATTTCTTCTCCCTTCCAGAAGGTCCACCTATTTCCATTTTCTGAGAGTTAACACAGTTCTGGATCCCGGTCTCGAATGAACAAAGCCACTGCTTTTTAGCCACCAGAGGTAATTGAAGTTGGAACGTTTTGTATCTGTTTGCACCTGTTCAGTTTTTATTCCTTTTTAAAGCATACACAAGCATTTCGTTGAATAATTGTTTCCCTTTTTTTTTTTGGCTGAGGGAGCAAGAACAGAAAAAGATAGCAGCTTAAAAACCCATCCTTTAAAAGGAGAGAAATCTGCAGAGGGAAAGGATAAGAATAATTCAGTAGTGTTGGATTACTGAGGATTTCCTGGGCTGCCTCTCATACCCAGCCTAATTAAAATACAGCATGTAATGTACCAGTTTAACAACAAAGGACGGTATTCTCATCTTTTGTTCCTAATCTGCACATCCCCTAAATGAGTTCAGGGACGCCCGTTCTGCCCACCAGCCTGCATGTGCAGCGTGTAAGAAGGACTGGGCTATCTGTGATACGTAGAGGGACTTTAAGGCTCTGTTCCTGAAAACAGCAAGGGAGCTATTTTCGTGCGTACAGCCAAGCACCTGCAGGATTATGTGTGATATGGGAGGCTAAGCAAAGGCGTGTTTTAAGAAGCCCGCGTCCCGTCTGAACCTTGGGGAGGCATCCCTGGAGACAGCCTCAGGAAACAGAAAAACAGCTCAGCCAAGGAACACTGCAAAAACACGGCTTATTAGCAGCCACATATTCAGTTCATAGAATCGCTTTGGTTTCCTTCTTGTACCGCATTGACTGCTTAAACCAATCTTAATTTTAATAAACGTGTACTTGCTGACCCTTTTTATCACGCAGGAGTGCAGGCAGTGATGGCAGGATTAGAAAGAAGTGGCACTCAGAATGAGATCAGAGAAGAAATAACCTTAAAATTGACCCAAAAAGTTTAAAAGCTAGGCAGGGCTGGCAGTTTCAGCTGGGAGAAAGAGAGCAAACTCTGCCCTGTGCCAGCACCATACATGCACTTCTCCACCAGCCACTTCTTCCCTCTTCCCTCACTTCACTTGCACACCAATTCCCCTCGGCCATCCCATCAGCACATTGCTTTGCAGCCCTGTCTGATCACTGACGGGGTGAAGAGTTGGCTGCAAATGTATCCAGACTTCACCTGGGTTGCTTCTGGATTTCAAAGGAAAGATACTGTGGATTAAGGAAAGATCAAAGCACGCCTCGTCCTCTCTAGACAGTGTCAGCCTTGTGCGTGGAGCTCGGAGTGGGAAACAAAGCAGAAATACTCCGTATTACGGGGTGCTGCTGGGCTCTGTTCTTGGTGTTTCCCAGCTCTGAGAGCACCAGGGCCACACTGAGAGTCAGCAGGCTACAGGTTACCCTGCCTCTGGATGCTGGTGGTACGTTTGTTAGCACCCACCAAGGAAAACACGCCCGGCTGGGTGTCCTGCCATGGGGTGCCCCTGCTGCCTCCAGGCTGATTGAATGTGTCACGGTCAGTGCTTGGTGTAACAGTGCATCTTCAGGGCAGCTACCAACACAACTCTTAGTGATACTCAACTAAACACGCATGGAAGGAGCAGACAACTTGGGCAGACTCCTTCAAAGAGAGCACACCCTGAGGCATGGATTCACATCCTTGCCAGGACTCGTCCCATTACAAAAACCCTATTTTCACACACCAACTGAGCTATTCTGGACTCATTCTTGCCCCACAGTCACTTACAGAGCCCATAAGAGAGGAACACCCGGTTGCTGTGTGAAGCTTCCCGCTCGGTCCCTGGCTGCAGCCTGGGCTGCGACTCTCTATCCTTGCCCATCACTGGCCAAGAAGGAATTAGGACCGATAACCCGGGACCAGGTGGAGGCTTTGATCCCAGAAATGACAACCAGACTCCAGCTTCTCCAATGGGAAGGAAGCCCCAACATTTGGAGCCTGAATATCAGGACCCGACAGTGGCAGGTCAAAAAGCATAAACTCACAACATCATAAACTGACGTTCCAGTACCAATTATCTAACGGTGTTCTGAGAAATGTAAGCGGACATCAGCAAAGTAATTCTGCATACATCACCTAATTCAGAAAGTGTGACTACTGCTTTATCAAATGAATCTGTCCTTGCCTGCCCAACTAAATTTCACCAGAGAAAGATCTGTAAGAGTGCTGTAAGAGAAAGTGAGAAACAGATACAACCATGCGCAGAGCACCTAACATATACTGAGGTATCTACTTCTTCTCCTGATGCATCAACAGACAAATGATTCAAAGTGCTAACAACAGTGGGCACGAAATCTACATTTCTATTGAAATTGATAATTTCTTTTTGTCTCAGACTTTTGGCAGAGCGTATAAAAGAATTTAATTCACAGCTGTTCTACTTTTTAATGTAGAAAACATTAATCAAAGCTTTAAGTTATAAGCTTTTCTAATGTTGTTTAGTATTCCAGTTCAACAAAGATCAATAGAGGCCATTCCTGTGTTTCTTGACGCCTCTCCAGGAAGCAGAGGCGCGATTATGTAAATAGCACTGGCTCCCCTTTACTTCTGCCAGCTTGCTTATCTCCAAAGCCTTCTGCCTGCTGCTACTGGCGACCAATGCAAGGACATGCATATACCTCTTATCTCCCAACAAAGCTCTGAAAACGCACGGATTGGAGCCAGTAATGTTAAACAATGATGCACGGCTGATTTTATTGGTAACTGATTTATTTTAGGAAATCTAATTTCTTCCTTCAATTTTTTTTTCCAGTTTAGATGGGAGATATTTGCTAACAAGTCAGGCGAGAGAGAAATAGAGCAGATGTTCTCCAACATTTATACAGGTCTGAAATAATCTATTAAACAACCCGAAAGTGTAGTGGGAAATAATTAGCAAGTGCCAGTTTCACCCAAGGAGTGTAAAAAGAGGATTAAGGAATCTTTGTTCAAGAATCCAACGGGCAGTGACCATACACTTCTTGAGGTTGGAAAAGCAAATCTTTGAGGGCACTGGAAATCTGCATTTTAGAATCAGTGTTTCCTTTGAAGATGCATTTATTTAAACTTACTTAAAACAGTGAAGTTTGGCTCTTTTGGACTTTGGATGCTACCTTAAGACCTCAATGGGACACGTAAGGAATAAATTCACACAGTTAGGCATTAAATGCTCATCTTTCAATGGAGCTGATGAATGGTCGCCAGCATAAAGGCGTGTACACACACACATGTGGAATTACCCACACCTAACATATTAAAACGAAACAACTGAACAGGTTCCAGGCCAGGTGCTGGAAGAAAGCCTGCAATTTGCTCATACGTACTGAAGGCAAATGCAAGCGTTCCGCACACGGCTGTGATTTTCCAACGGAACACCATTCTTACATTTCTTTTTCATTAATCCCTGACCCTGGTATCTCAGCAGCATAATCCCCATTTAGCATTAGTAGCAACGGCTTCTACTGCGAGGAACTATTTTTCGATAAGTAAGCACCGATTCAGGCAAAGCTTTTGAACAGCATATTCCCAGCTCAGCAAGAAACCCGCACTCCTGAATGAACCGGAGCACATTACTGAGAGAAAGTTCATTAACCTTGCTAGATTCGAGGGTTAACAGGATAGCTGAAGAAAGGAACAGAGTGAATAGCTCTGATGCAAAACAAATTAAAATGAATGTCATCATTCCTTTTGATATTCATTAGTTGATTCAGGGGAAGAATGGTCTTCTTAAATTTGCAAGCATTTATCTACAAAAAACAGGTGTACATCTGCTGCTCAAGTGCTTCTTAGTGCGAAAGAGAAGAATAACGTGCAGAGACTCACCAGTTCCACCCAGGGAGTAGCTGGGAGAGGGAGAAAAGACCTGAGCGGCAAAATCCTCAAATGTCATTACTTCTTTGTGGTTCTGGATTATTGCTTCAAGATACAGAGCTCTTTCCTCGTAGCTGCAACAGCCAGGTTAAGGAACTGTGTGCACAGAATAAAATGCTGTTACGTGACGTGCAAACCCACTGAAACACTAACAAAGCCACACACTGGCGTAGGGGACCCGAGCTGCACAACACTGCTCAACGCTGCTGAACACGAGCAGCCTCCTTGCTTGAAATTACAGACGATGCTTTTAGCTTCATCAGTGGAAAGGAGCGACTTGGTAGATCCGGTGGGATGCTGCAGTTACCAAAGGGTAAAACCTCAGCTTCCCCAGTGCAGGCTTTTTGAAACCACAACCCAACTTTAAGAGAAATTAGCTGTACTGGAAGTTCGTATTGCTGTTAAAATAACTCTGTCAGACTAGAAAAAATGATTAGACCGGGAGGAAAGCTGCAGGACAGAAGAGAAAAAAAACCCCATGTTTACTCGATCATTATGCGTTTTAAAAGAAATTAACAGTAAGTGACACAAATCCCCAGGGCGCGAAGTTGATATTTAATGCAGATGTAGTATTATGTGTCCTAAATGAATGACATGGATTGAAGAAAAAAAACAACACACACACAAAAACTTGCACGCGTTATTGTCTGCATAATGCAGACAACAAAGCAATCTAAAATCAAGACTATTGCCTTTTAATTAAAACTCGGCAACCTGGAACACACAGCATTCAAATGTGTAATCAAAAACCAGTCACCAATAAAACTTACAAGCGTAACAAGCTGAAGCAACTTTCCAGCTGTCTTAATAGGACCCCTGCTTGCGGCAGCTTTTCAGAGCGGAGAAAGCAAATCTTTTCCTTTTGTGTGCAGCTTCTGTTTTCTCAGAAGGTGAATCATACACTTCCAATAACGGGATAACGCCTGAAACAAACCTACAATGGGCTGAAGAACCTCACGTATGACTTTATGAATTAGCGCTCGCAGGCGCCCGTATGACATCTCATTCTCCATTTCCTCATTTAAAACAAAAGTTTTCAGATGCCCATTGTGTTTCTGTCGTGTGGAAACGCATTACGAGTTTGCAGGGCTGCAACGGGGGAGAAAAGGGCAATTTAAATTGAGAAATTAGGAGCGTACAGTGGAACGCCAGCGACAACATAATGCAGGTGAGGGTATTTAGAACTGAAAAGCATTACTAATTAATACTGAAGTGCCGTTTGCGACTTTCATTATGTTAACAAAAATGCTTTGAAATGGCTTTAAAAAAAATAAAATCGGAGCACTTAAAAATGGGAGGCGGTGGCCGTAGTGTTGTGCCTCACTGGGGGCAGCAATGGCGTGCCAGTTGCTAGAGCTGCTGCGACGGCAAGAAAAGGAAACAACGGCAGCGCCGGCCCTCGTGCTAGTGGAGAAGGGCAGATACGCGATAAATCTTCTTACAAACTTCCCGTGGAAACCCGCAGAAAGAGAATCAATAGATGCCGTTTCAGAGCGTGCACCTGCTGACAGCGTTATTTGTTTAGCGGTGCTCCCTTTTCTCCCCTAAGCCCAGGAGAACGCATTCCTGATAGCGCAAGCATTAGCCCGCCTGCATTCGGGGCTGCCTCCCTATTATGGGCTGAACTCCTGATGACTCTTGTTAATGAATAGGCTGCCAAACTTCCTCGGAGAGGAGGCACACGCCTGGGCCCTATTCTAAAGGGACTGACGGATGCCATTCACTTCTCATTACGAAGATGCTTATTCCGCGGCGCGCTCGGCTGTTGCCAGGGCCGTGCGGCGCACGCTCGGGCTGTCAGCGGGACGCGCGGGCTGCACGGCCGTCTGGCCAGCAGCCCCTCCGCCGCGGAGCTGGCACGTGCGGGCGCAGCGGGGAGGGAGCGAGGCGTGACAAATCGCTGAAAGGCTCCGGCCAAACCGACGGCTGCCGGCCACCTGAGCCCGCCGCCCCGCCGTCCGCAACGCCCGGCCTGCCGTGCGCCCTGCGGCCTGCTCCGGGCCGTGCTTCCAGCCGGGAGGGAGGACGGGAAGGCTCTGCGCTGCGCCTAATGACGTCCCGCTGCCTAATGAAAGGCCTCGCGCGTCCAGCACACAAGCCGGCAATGCGCCGGACGACTGCTGACACAACGCGACTCCGTACCGGTTTCCCTGAACATCGTGCAGAAAAACAGAGGGGTGAGGTTTCGGCGAGGCCAGGGGCATGTCTCTTAGAGCCCTTACAAAACAAAGGACCGCAGCCATTCAGATGGGCAACCGCAAGGGAAGCACTCAAACTCACCGCTGGGAGCTGGGTACCACCAGCACCCACGGCCGCACAGACTCCATGCAGGCTTGGCAAGCATCAGCATGGCACAGACCTGCCACCCCTCATCACCATCCCTCGCAGCTCAGCATCCTCCAGGTGACCAACCAGGACAGCAGCCAGCTCTAGTTTCACCTAGCTTCAGGAGTTTTCATTAGGGACATCATAAACAAGCTTTGAAAGGAAAACTGCCACTTCACTGTTGCAGTGTCATTACACTAGGTGTCTGTCAGATACACTCCATCCTTTGGAGCTCCATTGTACCTGGAAATTCCTTGTTAAGAGCTGGAATAGGCTCCCCAGGGAGGTGGTTGAGTCACCATTCCTGGATGTGTTTAAAAACCATTTGGATGTGGTGCTCAGGGAAGGATTTAGCAGACAGTCATTAAGAGTTAGGGTAATTTGGTTACCTTGCTTGATGACCTTTAAGGTCTTTTCCAGCCTGAGCAATTCTATGATTCTACGATTCTAACGCATTCTGGGAATCCAAGAGAACAGAGAACATCCAAAGACTGCCAGTACAAGGTGGATGAGGAGAAGAAGGCTTGGAGATCAGCAATTTGTGGCTGTTTGTATCACAGCAGTCTGAAACAGTCTCTAAAACGTCAGTCTCGAGAAGCTTCCTCTCCATCACCATGTAAGCCTGACTCCCTCGTGGTAATTGCTAGCACAGTGCTGTTAAGATTGCAGCCACTGCACTTTTGTTGCACCTTCACGCTGAAGGACCAGGGATCTGATTTTACTTACTTAAACATGCTGGAAGATTAAGCCGGATCTGTTTAACGCGAAATTCATGTCACAGCTGTGCATGAGCACATGATGTAAAGCTGCCCTCCAACATGAAGCCCGGCCATATTATTCAGACGAAACCAATACTTGCACAATGCTGTATAAACTACTATTTACTAAAAAAATGTTTTGCATGTATCAGCAACCCAGCCTTCACAGCTCATTGCTATGCCACGGGTTGAGCGGGGCCCAGAGAAAGCCTAAAGTGCCTGGCTGGCGGTGCTGCAAAAGCCTCAAGGCCAGACTGCTGAAGTGAAGCATGCAAATCATTTCTGGGGATGGCCTGGCTGCAGAGATGGGTTATGATCTTGAACCCTACACCGCTGAAGGAGCTGGACAGCTGGCTTCCCTGATTAACTAAGCCCCCATTTATCTGAAGGTTTTGGGTGTCCCTTGAGATCTCCAGATAAATGGGGCTATACCAGACATTCAAAGAAGCTGATCAAAAGCAGCCTCTTTTAATATGTATGGCAATTTGACCCATCTCTTACACGATTGCATTATTTTACATTTTACTTCTACCACGACAAACTCCAGAGCAAAATGCTTTCAATAGGCACAAACTCTTCCATTTATTTATATTCATACACTGAATGACACAGAGCCACAAGAAGGCACACATGGCCATCGATATATATGAATGTGTGACAGCAGGAATTTATCTCCAACTAGAATATGGCAAATGTCAGTATTTGACCATTATGAGTTTTTATAAATATTTTATAACTCGATCAGTTATTTTAACCGTTCAGCCGTACAGCAAGCTGTGTGACAGAAGAACCTCCAAAGTCCTTGTTGTCTATGTTCTGTAGATGAACAGAGCCAATTTGAGGTCCAGATGTGCCCAATATCTCTCTCTCTGGACACACAAGCCGTGTTGTATCATAAAGGTGCATTTAAAAACAAGGAATGCAGAAAATAATTACTCAAATAGATCTAGAAAATGCAAAAACCTAAACTCTGTGCTGACCTTAAGGAAAAATATCAGGTATTGATCACTACTGGCAGCAGTGGCCAGCGATTCCTTCTTTACACTATTTTTGGAGAACAAAATCATCTTGGTAACATTCTCATATTGCTAATATATGAGAACAATCACGCGTTTTGTTGACATAGCACTCTTTTCATGGAAACAAAAGCCAAAATGCCCAGTGGGTTCTGAACAGGCAAAGTGAGAACTGCCGGGCGACCCTCCACAGCTTACTGTTTTGTGGTGTGCCAGTGCCAAGGGGCTCCATCCCACACCAGGACCCAACGGCTGGGCTGCACGAGGAGCACATGCTGACACGACTGTTCCTCTGGCTCCAGAGGGATTGTTAATGCCGACTATTGGCATGAACTGATTGCAATTCCCATCTGTGATGCAAATCCTACCCCGAGAAGGGCTTTCAGGGCATCTGGCCAGTGGAGAAGCTGGAAATATAGAAGCAGACAGCTCTTTCCAGCCCATCAAGACTATATGCATGACCACACGTCAATTCCTAATTCCAACCACACAGGGAGACTTGAAGGAAAGAGAAATTCTTGGAATGTCTTCTTAAATGCAAGAAGTACATTGCTCAAATCTCCCCAGGGGCTTCCAGCTTCACGGATGCTCATACAGGTGACTACACAGGTATTGTGCAGGCAACCTGAGAAAATCCATTCTGCAAATAGTTTTCTAAGGCTGAGGAAGGTGCTGGGGCAAGCTCCTGTTTTACTGTCCGTTCTTTTCAGTACCAGAGAACTACAGATAAGTAATTTCTCACCATCACGTTTATTTCAATATCCTCTTAATTTGCACCATGAGAACCAAATATGGTTTCATAAAAAGGCTTTCTTCCTGCTACAATGACAGCAGTTTGATAAACAAGCAGCAGTATAAATGTTTGGGACTTACCAAGGCAGAATAGAAGAGGGGCCATAAAATTGAAGCTAACAAATGTGGTGGTAAGATGACCTTTATATGCCTAATTGTCCTTCTTGCAGCTCTGGATACTAC